AGATTCCACAGAAATTCAAACCATCATCAGAGATTATTACAAACAACTCTATGCACATAAACTAGTAAACCTGGAAGAAATGGATAAATTCCTGGACACTTGCCTCCTCCCAAGCCTAAACCAGGAAGAAGCCGAAACCCTGAATAGACCAATAACAAGGTCTGAAGTTGAGGCAGCTATTAAGAGCCTACCACCCAAAAAGAGCCCAGGTCCAGACGGGTTCACAGCCGAATTCTACCAGACGTACAAAGAGGAGCTGGTACCATTCCTTCTGAAACTATTCCAAACAATACAAAAAGAGGGAATCCTTCCCAAATCATTTTATGAGACCAACATCATCCTGATTCCAAAACCCGGCAGAGACTCAACAAGAAAAGAAAACTTCAGGCCAATATCCATGATGAACATAGATGCAAAAATCTTCAATAAAATACTGGCAAGCCGATTGCAACAGCACATCAAAAAGCTTATCCACCACGATCAAGTAGGCTTCATCCCGGGAATGCAAGGCTGGTTCAACATATGCAAGTCTATAAACATAATTCACCACATAAACAGAACCAAAGACAAAAATCACATGATTATCTGAATTGATGCAGAGAAGGCCTTTGACAAAATTCAACAGCCCTTTATGTTAAAAACCCTCAATAAACTAGGTATTGGCGGAACGTATCTCAAAATAATAAAAGCTATTTATGACAAACCAACAGCCAATATCATACTGAATGGGCAAAAACTGGAAGCATTCCATTTGAAATCTGGCACTAGACAAGGATGCTCTCTCTCACCACTCCTATTCAATATAGTACTGGAAGTTCTAGCCAGAGAAATCATGCAAGAAAAAGAAATAAAGGGTATTCAAATAGGAAAAGAGGAAGTCAAATTGTCTCTATTTGCAGACGACGTGATTGTATATCTAGAAGACCCCATCGTCTCAGCCCCAAATCTCCTGAAACTGATAAGCAACTTCAGCAAAGGCTCAGGATACAAAATCAATGTGCAAAAATCACAAGCATTCCTATACACCAATAACAGACTTAAAGAGAGCCAAATCAAGAATGAACTGCCATTCACAATTGCTACAAAGAGAATAAAATACCTAGGAATATAAATAGAAAGGAATGTAAAGGACCTCTTCAAGGAGAACTACAAGATACTGCTCAATGAAATGAGAGAGGACACAAACAGATGGAGAAACATTCCATGTTCATAGTTAGGAAGAATCAATATCGTGAAAATGGCCATACTGCCCAAAGTAATTTACAGATTCAACGCTATCCCATCAAGCTACCAATGACCTTCTTCGCTGAACTGGAAAAACCACCTTAAACTTCATATGGAACCAAAAGAGAGTCCGCATAGCCAAATCAATTCTAAGCAAAAAGAACAAAGCAGGAGACATCACACTACCAGACTTCAAACTATACTACAAGGCTATAGTAATCAAAACAGCATGTTACTGGTACCAAAACAGAGATATAGACCAATGGAACAGAACAGAGGCCTTGGAGGCAACACAACATATCTACAACCATCCAATCTTTGACAAACCAGACAAAAACAAGCCATGGGGAAAGGATTCCCTGTTTAATAAATGGTGTTGGGAAAACTGGCTAGCCATGTGCAGAAAGCAGAAACTGGACCCCTTCCTGATGCTTTACACTAAAATTAACTCCAGATGGATTAAAGACTTAAACATAAGACCTAACACCATAAAAACCCTAGAAGAAAATCTAGGCAAAACCATTCAGGACATAGGCGTAGGCAAGGACTTCATGACCAAAATACCAAAAGCATTGGCAACAAAAGCCAAAATAGACAAATGGGACCTAATCAAACTCCACAGCTTCTGCATGGCAAAAGAAACAGTCATTAGAGTGAATCGGCAACCAACAGAATGGGAAAAAATTTTTGCAGTTTACCCATCTGACAAAGGGCTGATATCCAGAACTTACAAAGAACTGAAACAGGTCTACAAGAGAAAAACAAACAAGCCCATTCAAAAGTGGGCAAAGGATATGAACAGACACTTTGCAAAAGAAGACATACATGAGGCCAACAAACATGAAAAAATGCTAATCATCACTGGTCATTAGAGATATGCAAATCAAAACTACATTGAAATGCCATCTCATGCCAGTTAGAATGGCGATCATTAAAAAATCTGGAGACAACAGATGCTGGAGAGGATGTGGAGAAATAGGAACACTTTTACACTGTTGGTGGGACTGTAAATTAGTTCAACCATTGTGGAAGACAGTGTGGTGATTCCTCAAGGACCTAGAAATAGAAATTCCATTTGACCCAGCAATCCCACTACTGGGTATATATCCAAAGGATTATAAATTGTTCTACTATAAGGACACGTGCACATGAATGTTCATTGCAGCACTGTTTACAATAGCAAAGACCTGGAAGCAACCTAAATGCCCATCGATGATAGACTGGACAGGGAAAATGTGGCACATATACACCATGGAAATTATGCAGCCATCAAAAACGATGACTTTGTGATGGATGAACCTGGAAACCATCATTCTCAGCAAACTGACACAAGAGCAGAAGATCAAACACCGCATGTTCTCACTCATAGGTGGGTGTTGAACAATGAGAACACATGGACACAGGGAGGGGAGCACTACACACTGGGGTCTGTTGGGGGGAAATGGGGGAGGGATGGGGGGTGTGGAGGCGGGGAGAGATAGCATGGGGAGAAATGCCAAATATAGGTGAAGGGGAGGAAGGCAGCAAATCACACTGCCATGTGTGTACCTATGTAACAATCTTGCATGTTCTTCACATGTATCCCAAAACCTAAAATGCAATTAAAAAAAAAAAAAAAAAACAGGCTCAGGGAGGTTAGTAACTTGCCCAGGGTCATGCAGCCTTTAAGGGTTAAAGCTAACATTGAAACCCAACAGATTCTGAAAACTAAGAGAGTAATCTTGCCAGCTTCTAAAAGGAAAAAAAGTTGTGCTGAAACATAGACAGGAGGTATGATAAGTAAGTTCTCCTGGTCACGTCTTCCATTTGTATCTTATGGAAACAGCTTATTTTTTTCCTCTGGGTTTTTCTACTCTCAGCTTCTCATGGCCCAAATATGTGTGTGTCTTCCTTTCAGTGGTATGGGGGTCCTGGTTTGACCATGTGAAAGGCTGGTGGAAGAAGAAAGACAGTCACCCCGTCCTGTACATTTTCTATGAAGATATAATGAAAGTAAGAATTGTATTTGAATTTTAATTCCACAATATTTTTTCTCAGAGTTACAGCTCCATGACAGAAGAGAAGGAAAGTCATGCTTGAAAGCTTATCTATCCAAAATATTTTGCATGTCAACTTCAACTTTAACCACCTTGCCATGTAGCATACAAAACTCCACAAAAAGTACCTTACTTACCGTTCTCTGCAGGAGGCAGCCTGCTTCTTCCTGAAGTCCCCCTTCACTCTGGGGTCGATTCCTACACTTTATCCAAAAGCATGGAAGATGTGTTCTGTTTGAGCCAGCTTTCTTCCTCTCTAGGTCTCTAGAGTCCTCCTTCCAAAATCTCTACCTCCTGCCATAACTTGCTCTGACTTCTGAGGAAAAGAAAAGAATTAATAACTCTAACATGAAAGAACTAGTAAGAAAGAATATAGCTGATTTGATTTGTCTGCTTTCTTAAAATATTAAAGTTTTGACATTTTTGTAGGCAAAGAATTTATGGCTGAGACAACCCAGAAGCAAATGCAACAAAAACAAAGATATCTGCAAGAGTTTTTCAAATGTTATCTTCTAGAAGTTTTATGGTTTCGGGTCTTAGATTTAAGTCTTTAATCCATCTGGAGTTAATTTTTGTATAAGGTTAGAGATGAGAATCCTGTTTCATTCTTCTACATGTGGCTTGACAATTATTACAGCACAATTTGTTGAATTGGATGTCCTTTCCCCACTTTATGTTTTTGTTTGCCTTGCCAAAGATCAGTTGGCTGTAAGTATTTGACTTTATTTCTGGGTTCTCTATTCTGTTCCATGCTGTTTTGGTAAATGTAGCTTTGTAATATAATTTGAAGTTGGGTAATGTGATGCCTCCAGATTTGTTCTTTTTGCTTAGTCTTGCTTTGGCTATGCAGGCATATATATATATACATATATACATATATATATATATATATATATGAATTTTACAATTACTTTTTCTAGTTCTGTAAAAAATAATAACAGCTGGATGCAGAGGCTCACACCTGTAATTCCAACACTTTTGGAGGCCGAGGTGGGTGGATCACCTCAGGTCAGGAGTTTGAGACCAGCCTGGCCAACATGGTGAAACCCCGTCTCTAATAAAAATACAAAATTAGCTGGGCATGGTGGCACATGCCTGTGATCCCAGCCACTAGGGAGGCTGAGGCAGGAGAATCACTTGAACCTGGGAGGTGGAGGTTGCAGTGAGCCAAGATCACACCATTGCACTCCACCCTGGACTTGTTAGAGTAAGACTCTATCTCAAAAAAAAAAAAAAAGAAGAAGATGGTATTTTGACGGGCATTGCATTGAATATATAGATTGCTTTTGGCAGTATGGTCATTTTCACAAAATGGATTCTACCCATCCATGAGCATGAGATGTGCTTCCATTTGTTTGTGTCATCTATGATTTCTTTCAGCAGTGTTTTGTAGTTTTTCTTGTAGAGATATGTCACTTCTTTGATTAGGTATATTCCTAAGTGTTTTACTTTTTTGCAGCTATCATAAAGGGGATTGAGTTCTTGATTTGATTCTCAGCTTGGTCACTGTTAGTGTATAGCAGTGCTACTAATTTGCATACATTGATATTGTATCCTGAAACTTTACTGAATTCATTTATCAGATCTGGGAGCTTTTTGGATGAGTTTTTAGGGTTTTCTAAGTATACAATTATGTTGCTGGAAAAGAGTTTGACCTCCTCTTTACCAATTTCAATGTCCTTTATTTCTTTCTCTCATCTGGCTAGGACTTCCAGTACTATGTTGAATAGAAGTGGTGAAAGTGGGCATCCTTGTCTTGTTCCAGTTCTTGGGGAAATCCACTTGAACCTGGAAGGGGGAAATCCCCAAGAACTGGAACAAGACAAGATGCCCACTTTCACCACTTCTAGTATAATGTTTCCCCCATTCAGTATAATGTTGGCTGTATGGGGGAAACATTATGCTAGAACTGGGGAAAACTTCTAGTGTAATGTTGGCTGCATGGGGGAAACATAATAGAAGTGGGGAAAACTATACTTCTAGTATGTTTCCCCCATTCAGTATAATGTTGGCTTAGGCTTGTCATAGATGGCTTTTATTTCCTTAATGTATGTCCCTTCTTTGTTGATTTTTTTGAGGGTTTTGATCATAAACGGATCCTGGATTTTGTCTAAGGTTTTTTTCTGCATCTATTGAGATGCTCATTTGATATTTGTTTCTACTTCTGTTTATATGGTGTATTACATTTATTGATTTGCATGTGTTAAACCAACTCTGCATTCCTGATATTAAACCCACTTGATCATGGTGTAATATCTTTTAAATATGCTGTTGGATTCAGTTAGCTAGTATTTTATTAAGGATTTTGGCATCTATGTTCACCAGGGATATTGGTATATAGTTTTTTTGTTACATCCTTTCCTGATTTTGGTATTAGGGTAATACTGGCTTCATAGAATGATTTAGGGAGGACTCCCTCTTTCTCTATCTTTTTGAAGAGTTTCAATAGGATTGCTACCAATTCTTTAAATGTCTGATAGATTCACATGTAAATCCAGCTGGTCTTGGACTTTTTTTGTTGGCAATTTGTTTTGCTCAGAGTTTCTATTTCTTCCTGGCTTAATGCAGGAGAGTTGTATGTTTCTAGGAATTTATCCATCTCTTCTTTTCTAGTTTGTGCACTTAAATGTGTTCATAGTAGTCTTAAATGATCTTTTGTATTTCTGTGATATTGGTTGTAATATCTCCCATTCTGTTTCTAATTGAGCTTATTTGGATCTTCTCTCTTCTTGGTTAATCTCACTAGTGGTCTAACAGTTTTGTTTATCTTTTCAAAGTACTAACTTTTTGTTTCATTTATCTTTTTTGTTTTAATTTCACTTAGTTCTGCTCTAATCTTGGTTATTTCTTTTCTTCTCCTGAGTTCGGATTTGGTTTGTTCTTGTCTCTCTACTTCCTTGAGGTGTGAGTTTAGATGGTCTATTTGTACTCTTTCAGACTTTTTGATGTAGGAATTTAATGTTATGAACTTTCCTCTTAGCACCGCTTTTCCTGTATCCCATAGGTTTTCATTGGTTGTGTCATTACTATCATTTAGTTCAAATAATTTTTTTTAATTTTCATCTTGATTTCATTGTTGACCCAAGGATCATTCAGAAACAAACTATTTAATTTCCATGTATTTGTATAGTTTTGAGGATTCCTTTTGGAGTTAATTTCCAGTTTTATTCCACTATGATCTGAGAGAGTACTTGATATGATTTCGATTTTCTTAAATTTATTGAGGCTTGTTTTGTGGCCGATTATATGGTTTCTCTTGAAGAATGTTCCATGTGTTGATGAAAAGAGTTTATATTCTTCAGTTGTTGGGTAGAATGTGCTGCAGATATCTGTTAAGTCTATTTGTTCTAGGGTATAGTTTAAGTCCATTGTCTCTTTGTTGATTTTCTGTCTTGACGACCTGTCTAGTGCTATCAGGGGAGTATTAAAGTCTCCCACTACCATTGTATTGTCATCGATCTCATTTCTTAGGTCTAGTAGTGATTGTCTTATAAATTTGGGAGCTCCGTTGTTAGGGGCATATATAATTAGGTTTGTTGTATTTTTCTATTTGACTAGTCCTTTTATTATTATATACTGTTCCTTTGTCTTTTTTTAATGGTTGTTGCTTTAAAGTCTGCTTTGTCCAACATAAGAACAGATATTCCTGATCACTTTTGGTTTCCATTTGCATGGAATATCTTTTCCCACTCCCTTACCTTAAGTTTCTGTGAGTTCTTATGTGTTAGATGAGTCTCTTAAAGAGAGAAGATATTTGCTTGGTGGATTTTTATCCATTTCGCCACTCTGTATCTTTTAAGTGGAGCTTGTAGGCCATTTACATTCAGTGTTAGTATTGAGATGTAAGGTACTGCTCTCTTCATCATGCTAGTTTTTGCCTGAATACTTTGTGCTTTTCTCACTGTGTTATTTTTTATAGGTCCTGTGAGATTTATACCTTAAGGAGGTTCTATTTTGGTGTATTTCAAGGTTCTGTTTCAAGATTTAGAACTCCTTTTTGCATGTCTTGCAGTGTTGGCTTGGTAGTGATGAATTCCCTGAGCATTTGTTTGTCTGAAAAAGACATTATCTCTCCTTCACTTTGTAGCTTAGTTTTTCTAGATACAAAATTCTTGGCTGATAATTTTTTTTAAGTAGTCTAAAGGTAGGATTCCAATCCCTTCTGGCTTGTAAGGTTTCTGCTGACAAATCTGCATTTATCTAATAGGTTTTCCTATATAGATTATCTGATGCTATTGATTCATAGCTCTTAAGATTCTTTCCTTTGTCTTGACTTTAGATAATCTGATGACTATATACCTGAGTGATAATCTTTTTATGATGAATATCCTGGGTGTTCTTTGACCTTCCTGTATTTAGATGTCTAGATCTCTAGCAAGACCAAGGAAATTTTTCTCAATTATTTCCTTAAATAACTCTCACAAACTTTTAGATTTCTCTTCTTCCTCACGAACACCAATTATTCTTATGTTTGGTTATTTAACATAATCCAAGTTTTCTTGGAGGATTTGTTCATCTTTTGGTTCCTTTTTCTTTGTCTTTGTTGGATTGGGTTAATTCAAAAGCCTTGTCTTCAAGTTCTGAATTTCTTTTTCTATTGTTGAACTTTTCCAGTGTATTTTGCATTTCTTTAAGTGTCTCTTTCATTTCCAGAAGTTGTGATTGTCTTTTCTCTATGATATCTATTTCTCTGGAGACGTTTTCATTCATATCCTGTACTTTTTTAAAATTTCCTTAAATTTACGTTTTTCACCTTTCTCTGGTATCTCCTTCAGTAGCTTAATAAACCTTTTGAATTCTTTTTCTGGCAATTCATAGATTTCTTCTTGGTTTGGATCCATTGTAGGAGAGCTAGTGTGATCTTTTGAGGGTGTTACAGAAACTTGTTTTGTCATATTACCAGAATTACTTTTCTGATTCCTTCTCATTTGGGTAGGCTGTTTCAGTGGAAAGATCTGGAACCCAAGGACTGCTGTTCAGATTATTTTGTCCCACAGGGTGACCCCTTGGTGTGGTGCTCTCCTCCCTTTCCTTTAGGAATAGGGCTTTCTACAAGCCAGACTGCAGTGATTGTTATTGCCCTTCTGGGTCTAGACACCCAGCAGAGCTACCAGGCTATGGGCTGGTACTGGGGAGTATCTGCAGAGAGTCCTGTGATGTGATCCATCTTCAGGTGTCCCAGCCAAGGATAACAGCACTTATTCTGGCGGAGGTGGCAGGGGAGTAAAGTGGACTCTGTGGGAGTACTTGTTTGTAGTTTTGTTTAGTGCGCTGGTTTTCTTGAATGCTGGTTATGCTACCAATGAAACTGTCGGACAGATTCAAGACATCTGGTTAGTCAGGCAGGCAGTGGAATTAGCTGTTGTTTTTTCTCCTTCTTTGGAGCAGGGTTGTTCTGTTGTGAGTTGCTCTAATGACTTGAGTTGCTTGCCCTCCAGCCAGGAGGTGGCCCTTTCAAGAGAGCACTAGCTGCAGTAGTAAAAAAGGAATATAATCTTGCCCTACACTTGCCAGAATGAGTACTTGGGTTTCTCAAGTGATAGAGCTCCCAAGAGTTTACGTCTTTTGTCCTCGGAGTTTTTCATCTGTCTCGTGGTGTTTTTCCCAAATAGCTTCTTATCTGCTAACAATGAAAGTGAGTAAAATACTAAGCTCCCCAGATGACACTCTTCTCAGCGTGTCCCCTTAACATCAGCTACAGCACAGGAACAAACATGCTTATTTTCACATAACTGACCTTTAAGATTGCCATATTTGTTGAACTGACATTTACAAATCTGCATGTTAATAAGCAAAGCATTTCAAAATTACTTTTAAACATAATCTGACATTGTTTAAAATATTTTAACCATTATTTCCACAGTTCTTTAAGGTTTGACTGTTGTAATATTTTTTCCTTTGTTAGAAAGCTCTCTTTTCTTTTACTCTCTCCAACAGGATCCAAAATGTGAAATTAGAAAGATAATGGAATTCCTGGGGAAGAACCTAAAAGAAGATGTTTTGGACAAAATTGTCTATAATACATCATTTGATATAATGAAAAAGAACCCTATGACCAACTACTTAAATGAAATTACAATGAATCATAATCTCTCTCCATTCTTAAGAAAAGGTGACGTATGCTTGCTTTGTCTTTCCTCTGACAAGAGAAAAAAAACAATGTCAATTTATCAATGTTTTCTCACCTTCAAGCTAGCCGAAACCACTGTTTATAGTGTTTCCTGAAGTGAGTTTTTAAAACTTTATTCTGAGAGCATGTGCTTCACCATCAGAGAAGTGCAGGACACTACACACCATGCCCTGCATCCTTTGAAGCATATTATAGTTTCTGCAAGGAAACTTGTTTAACTCTGCATAACTCAGAGCTTGAAAAATGTATGTGACCAAAAACACTTGCTCCAGTAAAGCCTATGAATCTCCACGAAGCAAGTGTTCCTCCCAATACATTCTGGGAGACAGTGGCAAAGGTCACTGGCCTTAGGAGCCAGAGGGTGGCACCTTGGCTGTCACTCAGTCTGTGTCATCTCACAGAAAATGGCCAAGGTAACACCAAGAGTCAACATTATCAGAGCCCAGCCAGACCAGGACTCAGCCTCCAGCCCAGTATGCATCCTCCAGTATCCAATGGCTAGCTCCTTAAACAAAGACAAATTTTGTTTCATTGTCTTTATTTTAGTAACTTTTTAAAAAATTATCTAGTACCTCTTTAAAAAAATCTAAGGCTTACTGAAGAAGTATCCTCTCTAATTTAATTAATTAGCCTAGTTTTCTTTCAAACCAACTGGGAAGAGATATGATGATATTACTCCTAGATAATTAAGCAAATTTATACGGCACACATGAAAATTATGTTATACAGCTCAAAGTGCCTAAATAGATACCAATACTATGGAGCAAACAGAAAAGAAATAGCTTGCTATCGGCTGTCTGACCATTTATGGCTATTGAGGCTAAAAAAAAATTCAAATACTCTATTGCATAAGTATAAAACAAAGTTAACCAAGCTTACCCTTCCTTCATATTCTATTACTTTAATTATATGTTTACAGCAATAAGAATTTAGATTGGAAAGGAGAATTCTCAGTTGTGTTCAACTGGGAATTTTGTCTGAAACAGAGGCGCAAACAGAAGGAAAAAGAACATGACACTCTGAGAATGCAGTCATTCAGTGACTTCTGAAGAGAGGGTAACAAATTAGATCTCACTAACCTGAATAGAATGTTAGATACACTAAGGTTTGGGAAAGTGCTGGTACAGCAGAGAAGTGCAGAGAAGTAGGGAACCTGTGATCTAGAGGTCAGGCTTTCCCCAGCAAGTTCTGTGTTTCAGTATAAAACTTGCTATTTATAAATACCTCACCTGTGAAATGAAGTAATCATAACTGTGGCTTCTTTTCTCACTTCGATGTCAGCAGGACAATGTGTTAATATCTATATAAGCAACCCAAATATTGAGAGGAATGAGATTATCTAAATCCAAAATAGCCAAAGTTTATGAAAATATCATTGAATGTGCTCTGTATTACTCTTTGCAGGAATCATTGGAGATTGGAAAACGCAGTTCACTGAAGCTCAGAACAAGCAATTTAATGAATACTATGAGAAAAATATGGCTGACACTTCATTGTCATTTTGCATGGAACCCTAAAAAACACAGCAAGAGAATAAAACCTATTCTCTCACCAGCCTCTGTGAAGTGAAAGGGAAATCTGTTTCCAAATACCACTAATGGTTTGTCTGACTCAGTGTAAGGGCTTTTAAACACCTTGAATTTCTGATCTGCTTTTTGGATTACCCACAATCTAACTTGTTATATAATTATTTTCCTTAGCATTTTTCTCCCTTCTCCACAGATTTTCAGGGTTTATGTGAACAGCAATATCTCAACATGCAATATATAAAACATATTTAATCATTTCTGTTCCATTTATATATCCTCCTTCTGTATGTTATTATAATTTTATTTGAATTACAACATCAATTTCATTTATTGTAAAAGTTCTATGCAATATAAACTTACTTAGCAAAAATGCCAACCCCATTCATTTGAAAACAGACATATTTTGAGCACCTTATTCATGCTAGGCAATGGACACCACCAAAAGATGATAAGAATAAGATCCCTACAGCTAAGAAAGGTACAGCCTAATAAGAGATCACAGCAAGAGCACAGCCCAGGTATTACCAGGTAAGCACTACACTAGACTGTTGGTGCAGAGGGATCAAAGAGGAGAATAAACAAAGTTGTATGGCATGGAGCCCCAGGAAAACGGCGGAAATGAAGGTATGAGGCCTTGGATGTTTCTCATCAGCCCATGCTCTGGCCTCAAAGCATGCATCCCATATTTTGCACAGTCAACATTCATATCTCCTCATCCCCAAGAGTTCAAGTTTGCCCTACTTAATAGTTTACTCTTATAAACCTTAAGGACACCCATTTCAGAGGTCTCCTGAGACCCAGAAATCCTTCAAGGCCAAATGGAGTAAGTCTCCAGTGACAAAGCTCAAAGGCAGTAAGAAGCAGAGTATATTTAGGAAGAAGGGAATATAGCTCTATCATCTCCCTCACCCTCTGTGTCAGAGGCGTGCAAACCAGGGCAACTCTATCTCGAATAGGGACTGGGTAAAATGAGGCTGAGAACTGCTGAGGCATTCTAAGTCACAAGATGATATAGGACTTGGTCAGCACAAGATATAGGTCATAAAGACCTTCCTGATAAAACAGGTTGTAGTAAAGAAGCCGGCTGAAACCCACCAAAACCAAGATGGCCACGAGAATGACCTCTGGTCATCCTCACTGCTACACTTTCATCAGTGCCATGACAGTTTACAAATGCCATGGCAACATCAGGAAGTTACCCTATATGGTCTAAAAAGCAGAGGCATGAATAATCCACCCCTTGTTTAGCATATAATCAAGAAATAACCATAAAAATGGGCAATCAGCAGCCCTTGGGGCTGCTCTGTCTATGGAGTAGGCATTCTTTATTCCTTTACTTTCTTAATAAATTTACTTTCACTTTCCCGGAATTCTTTCCTGCATGAAATCTAAGAACCCTCTCTGGAGGTCTGGATCAAGACCCCTTTCCTACAACACCTGCACCTACTCGATGGTCAGAATGCCAGAGACACTTTCCATAACAGATGCTAGTTAATTCTGAATGAATAAAACTGAGACATTGATCACTAATACTCTTAAAATTGGAGTTCTAAGACTCATCAACAAAAAGTCAAACTCTGTGAAATGTTTTGAAGAGATTTATTCCGAACCAAATACCAGTGGCCATGGCCCATGACGCAGCCCCTAGGAATTCCTGAGAACGTGTGCTTGAGGTGGCTGGGGTGTAGCTTGTTTTTGTACAATTCATGGAGACATAAGACATCAATCAAATACATTTAAGAAATACAGAGGAGGATCCAAGATGGCCGTTTAGGAACAGCTCAGGATTGCAGCTCCCAGTAAAAGCACAGAGGGTGAGTGGATGCTGCATTTTTATTGCCCACAGACTAGGAAATTCCCAGGCAGAGGAGCTCCATGGTCGCCAGTGCGGCTGTATCGGCTAGCGCGGCTGTGCCAGCCGGCGCCGCTGCTTTGCCGTGTGCGGCTGCTTAGTCGGCGCCCCAGAGCAGCGGTTCTCTGGTTCTCTGTACAAAATACACCAGTCTGGTTGCCCTTTTGGCTGGCGATTGGAGCCACGGAAAGTCACCCATTCATCTGTTTAAAAAGGGGACTGAGCAGAGAACCAGTACAGTAGATTCCAGGGGAAAAAAAAAAAAAAGCGCCACAAACCCCAGTGCCGCTGTTTAAGCCAGCGCAGTGAGTGGCTGCAGGGGAAAACAAACAGACCCCGGCCCCTCTTCAACAGGTGACTGGAACACCAACTTAAAAAAGGAGCCGAGGCAGGGAGCCAAGCAATCAGGCTTGGGTGGTCCCACCCCCACAAAGAACAGCAACTAGAAACTCTGGATTGAGGCTTTCACAGCAAGCGCAGCTGAACCCGGGATGGTCTAGCTCTGTGGGGGAGGGGCGTCCGCCATTACCGAGGCAGCCCGCCAAGACAGAGGTAGTCAGCCAATGCTGAGGCAGCCCGCCGTTGCCAAGGCAACCTGCCATTGCTGAGGCAACCCGCCATTGCCAAGGCAACCCGCCACAGCAGAGAGACTCCGCCTCAACAGAGGCGGGCCACCATCGCCAAAGCAGTTCTAACTATACCCATATAAACAGGACTGCAGGGAAGTTCACTCAGCAGTGGGGCAGAGCCCACAGCAGCTCAGCAAAGCCTCTATAGGCCGACAGTGACTAGGCTGCCTCCTTGCTGGGCAGGGCAGTCCTGAAGGAAAAAAAAAAAGAAGGCAGCAGCATAACAGAAACTCATAAATAAAGCCCTAAATCCCTGGGACAGAGCACCTGGGAACAAAAAGCAGTTTATGAGTTCTGCTGCAGCAGACCTAAACGTACCTGCCCAGCAGCTCTGAATGAACAACAACAGAGCTCACAGCTCACCATTTGAGCTCCTATAAAGAAGAGACCGTCTCCTCAAGCAGCTCCCTGACCCCTATGTATCCAAAGGGACACTTCATAAAAGAGAGATCAGATTGACACTAGGCGGGTATCCTTCTGGGACAAAGATAGCAGAAGAAGAAAACTGGTAACAACCCTTACTGTTCAGCAGCTGCTGCAGGTGAACCTGAGGCAAGCAGGGCCTGGAGTGAACCTCAGCAGACCTACAGCAGAGGGGCCAGGCTGTCAGAAGGAAAACCAAGAAACAGAAATAACATCATCATCAACAAACAGAACGTCAATCTGAAAGATTTGAGACCCAATCTGAAAGCCAGCAAATACAAAGTTGACAGGTGGATAAATCCTTAAAGATGGGAAGAAACCGGCGTAAAGGATGAAAACACCCGAAACCAGAACACCTCTCCTCCTACAAGGGATCACAACTCCTCATCAGCAAGGGAACAAGGTTGGAGGGAGAACGAGTGTGATGAAATGACAGAATCACACTTCAGAAGCTGGGTAGTAAGAAACTTCTGTGAACTTAAAGAACATGTTCTAACCAAATGCAAAGAAACTAAGAACCTTGAAAAAAGATTTGACGAAATGCTAACAAGAATGGACATAATAGAAAGGAATATAAGTGAATTGATGGAGCTGAAAACCGCAACACGAGAACTTTGCGAAGCATGCACAAGTATCAACAGCTGAATTGACCAAGCAGAAGAAAGGATATCAGAGGTCGAAGATCAACTCAATGAAATAAAACAGGAAGGCAAGAATGGAGAAAAAAGGGAAAAAAGGAATGAACAAAGTCTACAAGAAATGTGGGGCTATGTGAAAAGACCTAATCTACGTTTGATAGGCGTACCTGAATGCGACGAAGAGAATGAATCCAAGCTGGAAAATACTCTTCAGGATATTATCCAGGAAAACTTCCCCAACCTAGCAAGGCAGGCAAACATTCAAGTCCAGGAAATACAGAGAACACCACAAAGATATTCCTCAAGAAGAGCAACCCTAAGGCACATAATCGTCAGATTCACCAGGGTTGAAATGAAGGAGAAAATACTAAGGGCAGCCAGAGAGAAAGGTCGGGTTACCCACATAGGGAAGCCCATCAGACTCACAGCAGATCTCTTAGCAGAAACTCTACAAGCCAGAAGAGAGTGGAGGCCAATATTCAAGATCCTTAAAGAAAAGAACTTTCAACCCAGAATCTCCTATCCAGCCAAACTAAGCTGCATAAGTGAAGGAAAAATAAAATCCTTTGGGAACATGCAAGTACTCAGAGATTTCGTCACCACCAGGCCAGCTTTACAAGAGCTCCTGAAAGAGGCTCTACACATATAAAGGAACAACAAGTACCAGCTCAACCAAAGAGCAAAACACCCAGCTAGAACCAAAATGGCAGTATCAAATTCACACATAACAATATTAACACTAAATGTAAATGCACTAAATGCCCCAATCAAAAGACACAGACTGGCAAATTGGATAAAAAGCCAAAATCCATTGGTGTGCGGTATCCAGGAAACCCATCTCACATGCAAGGATACACAAAGGCTCAAAATAAAGGGATGGAGGAGGATTTACCAAGCAAATGGAGAGCAAAAAAAAGCAGGAGTTGCAATTCTCATCCCTCATAAAATAGACTTTAAAGCAACAAAGATCAAAGGAGGCAAAGAAGGATATTACATATTGGTAAAATGATCAATGCAACAAGAAGAGCTAATGATCCTAAATATATACGCACCCAATACAGGAGCACCCAGATACATAAGGCAAGTTCTTAATGACTTACAAAGACACTTAGACTCCCACACAATAATAGTGGGAGACTTTAACACCCCATTGTCAATATTAGACTGATCAACCAGACAAAATTAACAAGGATATCCAGGACCTGAACTCAGGCCTAGAATAAGCAAACCTAATAGACATTTACAGAACTCTCCATCCCAAATCCACAGAATAAACATTCTTCTCACTAGCACATCACACCTACTCTAAAATTGACCACATAATTGGAAATAAATCACTACTCAGCAAATGCAAAAGAACAGAAATCATAACAAACAGTCTCTCAGACCAGAGTTAGAACTCAGAATGCAGAAACCAACTCAGAACCGCACAGCTTCATGGAAACTGAATAACTTGCTCTTGAATGTTGACTGGATAAACAATGAAATGAAGGCAGAAATAAAGATGTTCTTCGAAACCAACAAGAATGAAGACACAACATACCAGAATCTCTGGGACACATTTCAAGCAGTCTCTAGAGGACAATATATAGCAATAAGTGTCCACATGAGAAGCAAGGAGAGATCAAAAATTGACATCCTATCATCAAAAT